ACGAACAAGACAATTATCGATACTTGGATTGTTCAAGGAAGAAGGAAACGAACAGTTTCGTAGACATAGGTTTTTGTATCTATGTGTATCCGCTTGTAGGAAATACTACAAAAAAAAATCATCCTGACTAGTCTCTAAAAGGAATTGAAACAGCAATATATTTCGTTCACATGTTTCGGGAGTGTAAACCCATGTTGTAAACGCTTTCAGAACAATGAGAACAATGTCAATGGAAAGCTGAGCGCACGTCCTCTGTATCAGTTTATTTTTATACTCAGAGATAATGAATACTTTACGTACTACATTACGATGGATTTCGAAATACCACTGTGACGTCACACGGAAAAAAAAACACAAAAATCTCCCATTTATGAAGTTGGTAGTTTTATTAAAAAAATACGCTTTTAAATATGCATTTAAATTTACAAAACGTTATGTTACATAAAATAAATTGCTACTTTAACATAATTTAATTAAATCACATATTACTTTTTAAACCAATTCTATCCTACTTCATTTGATGTTTATCAGTTCCGGGAAATAAATGAGGAATGTCCTTGAAATTGGTCACCCGAGCGCCACGTGGTGGGGACGAAAAATGAACATTAGATACATGTGCTTTAATGAAGATCATGAAGTTAACACGTTACGTTTTAACCAACCTACAGGTACTCTAACCTGTGTATAACTACAGTTACGTGTATAATAAAATAAAATGTAAGTGGCTAGAAAGGTAGAAGATCGGAGTATAGATAGATTGTATAAAAGAGGATATGTAAGTATATGGAGTCTGAAAGGCTGATAGACATTAATGAAAGAACAAGTCACTAAGCCTGTAAAGTTAAAGCCATCATTCAAAAACTAACGTGTGTACATGAGTGATTGTGTCAGCAAATGTTTGCCATATTAATTGTCACTTGGCAACATTTGGCCATTGTGTGTTGCTAGTATTTTGAAATATTTCTATACAAGTAAATCAACTTAATTATCGCTTTACTCCTCACGTCATTGACAATAATTTTGATATTTGTACTATTGAATGATGTAAGTGGTACTTCGTGGTCGTATAGTTCTATTCAATAAGCCCGCTGGCGCAGATGATGGCTGGCAATTGCATCGCACTGGACTGTATTATTAAACAACTAGATATTGCTCGCGAATTCGTCCGCGTGAAATTAAAATATAATAAAAAATATAGCCTATATTACAGATAAATTACCTTTCTAACGGTAAAAGAATTTTTAAAATCGGTAGAGTAGTTTTTTAGTTATTAAAATACATAAAAATACAAATATTTTCTCTTTATAATATTTATATAGATTTTATGAACAGTTATCTAGGTATCGAAGGCTAGATACAACCGAGACCATTCTATGGTCTACCCATTGATCCATTGTGTGTGCGAAGATCGTACTTACGAGCAGTCGTTAAATTTGAATCTGATTATACATTGTAAGGTAACAATGTTTTACCACAAATTTTCAAGGATTAGCTTAAGTTTTACATGTCAAGAGATACAGCACGATCTGGCAATTAACCTTCTTCATACAACATACAAAACCATCGATTCACGATTTTTTTAATCACCATGACCTTGTGCTGTGATTAACTATGGTGCAATTGTGCGTTGTAGTGTATATTTATTTTAATAAATTAAGTTTTTACAGGGTTAGCATGGTATGAGAGACGAATCGCATGTGGTACACCGGTACAGGTAAACCTAGAAAGAGATGAATGCCTGAAAGGATGATCAAGAAGGGAGTGATGACTGAGATGACAGATAATAGAGTTATTTAAGGAAAGAAAACCCGTTACCAGGACCTTACAAGAGTAAGGGCCTGTCCCACCACTCGGTGATAGATTCACATAGCTTAATAATGACGTCATCCTAAGGGAATAAAATCCGATATTTCCATAACATATTTTACAGGTTGGACTGTTATCAGACAATTTACAATGAGACAGGCCCTAAATGTATCTGTAAATATGTACAGGTGATGAAATCTTATAGCATTTATCGACATTAGTGATGTCTTTATAAATTATCGATATCAAGTATATAAGTTATCGATGTAACAATCATTGTTTGTTAACAATGGCAGTGCAAGTGCGATACATACATACAATGTATTTAATGTAAATATAACTTAGATAGTGTATCCGAAAGGCTGCATTTATTCTGTGTGACTAAGGTGTGAACATGGTAATCTATACTAATATTATAAAGATGAAAGATTTGTATTTTTGTATGTATTGAAATAACTCAAAAAGTAATGGACCGATTTCAAAAATGTAACATTAAAATGATATTAAAAACGGCTCAACTCACGCTTTTATCCTCCGGCGAAGCACCGACTAGTTTCGGATCCATCGGGGATCCTTCTTCTTAAATTTTAATAAGAACAATAGCGACTCTACAACATTTTTGAACGAGTCGACATCTCCGTCGCCGAAGCACGAAGCGGCCACAACGCTCTTGGCGCCCCCCGCCCCCTCGAACCGCGCCCTCCGCGCCCTGGCCCGCAGTGCGAGGCGCGACGCGACCGCGAACAAAAGTTAATTAACACTCGCCCTGAAGAAGGATCCCCGAAGGATCCGAAACTAGTCGGTGCTTCGCCGGAGGATAAAAGCGTGAGTTGAGCCGTTCTTAATTAATTTTCGCTTAAAGTAATGTCTCACGATAGTTTAAACAATTTAATTAAAATGATATGTTCTCACTGAGTAAAAGGCTATAATTTTACTGATTTCTGTAATTTTACGCGGTCGAAGTCGCGATGACAGCTAGTATTGTAGTATTTTTAAATTCCGCGCTGACAGTCACGGGCAAACCGTTAGTAATAAATCCTTCACATTCGGATATTTTGATGTGTTCTAAATTATAATTACTAATGATTTCGGTTACGAACTGTGACATTTTCTGGGCAAGGTTGATTTTACATAACTTAATATAGCGGTTTTGAACTTCTGAGGCCCAATTCTTTTAGATATCAGAAATATACTTACTAACGCAATAATAAAAAAAGCTATTTTCGCTGATGATTTTGTTTTTTTTTTTTAATTTAGTTAGAAAATTTGATTTTTTTTTAGTCACAAAAACAAATGTTCTTTTGTCTTGAGTAAATTTAAAATTCCCTACACATAATGTTTAAAATTCAACAAATGTAAAACCACATACATGAATTGAAGTCTGGTATTTCCAAATTGAAATAATTTCCTCAATATTTAAAACTAACTGTTGCACGCGACTTCGCTCACGTGAAATAAAAATATACAGTCAATATTACCTATAACGTAGCTTTTTAATGGTATAAAAATTTTGATATAGGACATGTAGTTTTCGAGTTATTTCATTACATACAAAAATTCAAATCTTTCCTCGTTATATAAATAAGTATAGATTATAAATTTAATATATTGTAAACGTATAGTATTCGATAAAACGCTGAAAATACTGTTAAGCATGCTAGTTAAATGTACATAGGAAATTCTCAAGAGATTTTGAACCCAGGAATTGCAGTTTACAAGTCAAGTGCTTACTCTCTGAGCTTTCGACGCTCTGTTTCATTATCTAAAAAAACACAGTTTGTCTATGATTAAGGGTTTTAATTGTATCAAGGTTTTATTATGTTAAAGTACGCGTACAAAAATACAGGACGATTCTAAAACATTATGGTTTACATCCGACTTTTTGTAATAACAATGTCCGATATGACTCAGAACAAAAGATGTACAAACCAACGAACAAGGCAATTAACTTAGGTATTAAGTGACTCAACTTCCTACGAAGATCCTAAACACAGCGTGTTTAAAAAACCCGCTGTGAGTCGGAACAGATATTAAAATATGCTAATAAAATAAAGCAAAAGCGTGTAATTGTATAATTTCTTGAAACTACATATAAATATATCTTTACTAATATTATAAGCCAGTAAGATTTGTATGCTTGTATGAATTAAAATAACTCAAAAACTACTGGGCCGATTTTAAAAATCCTTTCACCATTTAAAAGCTACGTTATAAGTGAGGAACATCAGTCACATTTTTTTATATTTTTTAATGTCATGCGGGCGAAGTTGCAAGCAAAAGCTAGTTTGTTATACACTAAGCTTTATCATCTAGGTAAAATATCAAGGATTTTATTTTTTTAATGTAAAACTATAACATAAGTAAACCCGCTATTTCCACTGTAGCTTTAACATTATTAAGACGTCAATGACGAGATATTTCTAGGAGCATAGCATATTTCAAGAGGTAATTTCCTTGCGGGCGGCGTCTGAGCTTTTTGTAGCGACGCGCGAGCGCAGGGTCAAGGCCCTCAAGGCCCCGGGAGAGCGGGGGGATACCTACAAACAAGGGGAGGGGGAATAGACCGAATATGCCTATGGAAACTGCGAGTTTCACACGATGGTAGAGCAGTAGGACAGTGCAGTATTGTCCTTTAAACGGAAATGTAAAAACAGTGTACTATTTGGATAGAAAGTGCGAGGTCTACTGTCTTCCTGCGTGTGATACTAGCATAAGGAGATAGGACTAAGGTGGGGGGGCAATGTCACGCACACACGTCACGTTCCGTCTCGCACGATCACATACGATCGGAAAGGGATAGACCCGCACTGTTGTACAAGTTTATGAATGCTGGTTTCGGGCGTGCGCGCGCTGGCCGCGTGGGAACCGCGTTGTTGACCGGTCAGCGCACCTGTTGGCTGTTTACAGCTGCATTTGATCATGTATCTACAGACGGATGTATTATACATACATAAAACTTTACCAGTTAACATTATTAGTTTAAGGTAAATATGGACGGGTATTTAGAAGCAATGAAAGTAGTTAATTATGATAATTGTTACAGCTTGATATTACGTTATGCAAGCATGGTATATTAAAATGAAAGCAAAAAAAAAATGTAAACTTTCACTTTTTAAACCAGCAAAAGAATGTTACGACTTAGATTAAATACACGTGTGGTCCGATTTACAATGATAATATATGTAACAAAAGTGTATTTGTTAAACCGTTTGTCCGTGTGTACACTTGGCTATAGACAATGCTTATAATTACGCGAGCTAGGCAGCGCCGCCGGTCGCGCGGTACTCAACAATTAACCTTAATTAAATAATAGTAGAACGCGGATGCATTTCTAGTTAAACAATCTATATGTTGACGGTTATAGGTATTTAATAGCTATAGTTAGTCTACCATTGAATACTCTTTGACATTGACGAGAGAGACAGGTAGAGTAGAGCTTGTGTAAGAGAGAAGAGATAAGTACTTAAACGGCAATGAATATGTTATTGTCAAAGTCTAAAAGTCTTTATAAAACTGTAATCGAAACTAAAAGCACGCAAATAATCTTTGTATCTCGGGACATTTCATGTTATTTTTAAACGGACCATCTATTTATAGAATAGTCAATGATCCTTCAAGCAGGTTGTCTCTAGGGTTGTCTTTCGATTAACGAAAAGAAATCCAGTGAGGCTTCATGCAACGTATTTAAACAAGACATTAATGTCAAACTAGAATATGAAAAACAAGAGTGGCAACCCTAGCTGGCCCTAGTAGAGTCCTTCATGAGGTATGTGACATTGAAATGGTTACAAGCCTTTTTATAAGATGTGTTTTTTTTAATTGAATATATTCGCTCGTATATTCATGACACGTCTGTGTACAGTTATTCCATTAACTGCCAGCATATTTTAAACCGGAACTAAGTAATGTGAGTTCAGTTAGTTTATATTAACGCCGTAATTCCACTGTCCCTCAAACCGATGGTTACCGCTTGGAAATCAATAATTTCTCATACTAATATTATAAATGCGAAAGTTTAGATAGACGGATGTTTGTTAGAGTACAGACAAACATAAACAGCTGAACGGATCTCGATGAGATTTGGCATTTATCTACGTCAAACAATGTCTGGAAGAATACAGAGGCTATTATTTTTTTTTAATTGCGTGCGGACGGAGTTGCAGGCAATAGCAAGTTTAAATTTAAAGTATTTCCTTTTTTTCTATTGATATCAAGTACAGCCAGATATGCTTAAGAAAGGAGTGGATTCAGATATGACGGCTGATAGAGATGTATGGAAGAGCAGCACATACTGTGCCGACCCTCCGTAAGGGATAAGGGCAAGTGGATGATGATGATGATCAAGTACAGCCAGAAGTGAGATGAATGGTTTTCAATATATTTTTTTGTAAATAAAACGGGATAAAGCAATAATTATAAATGTACCAGACTAACTAATTAACTTAGAAATAACATTTTACTACGTTATGTATTCTATAAAATCTATTATAACATCACTTCTGATGCTGTTGTATTGCCGTTTCCATCGCCATGTTTCGAGACAACATCGTCCGACACTCGACACCGGACAAAAACAATGATCTCGCGTGTCGCATGTCGCTGTTCCGTTACCTCGTCACAACGCAATCAAGCGGACGAAGCGATGTCTGACGCGAGTTTTAATGACGCGAACTGACTATGAGGTTTCTGACCTGCCTGACGAGATCTGAAAGCGTTTGACTTGACGAAAGCGCCTTGTATTTGTGCTATATGTAACTATTTAAGATATTAGGTAAACAAAACGTCAAACTCCATTCATGACTACATTTTTATAGCAGAGGGGGGCAGGAGCGCCTAATGCTATTTGATCCGAGGTTAAGATGGAAGGATGTCTGTTCGAGTTTGTAGCCTAAACGGCCGAACGGAACTCGATGTAATTTGGCATAGATGTAGAGTGCAGAGATTAGCCTGGAAGAACACATGCATGACTACTTACTTTTGTTTTTTTTTGCAAACGGAAATCTCGCGGTCGAAATCTAGTTTCACATAAAATTGTGAGTCTATGAAGGAGAGTTAGTCTATAGTGAACATTCCTCAATTTGTAATAAAAACTTGTGTGAATAAAAACCATTTAATAAGTGGCGATTCCAGTTATTGTCAATATCCGCTGAGAACCGCAGCTGAGAATCTTCACCCCTTAATACCTTTATGTACAAAACTTGTTTCACATAGATATTATAATTCTTCGAACGTGAGAGTTGACACAAGTCTATACAAGGAGCGTACAAACATTCTCAAAGACATATAAAGTTACACATAACATTACTAAATCATCCTTATAACATTACTAGCTTTCGCCCGCGACTAAATCCGCTTGGAATAAAAAAAAAAACTAAGTAACCTATGTGTTCTTCCCGACTATCCTCTACGCCTATGTCAAATTTTATCAAAACTCGTTCAGCCGTTTTTGTTACAAACTCTTACAAACATCCATCTAAA